AGAAAATATAGCTGTTCAATAAATGCTTAATGGGTTAGTTAATGTGTAATTTAAAGCACATGAGAATCACTAATGTTGATACCTTGTGAATCTTAGTACTCACAGTAATAAGCATGCATGTGTAGTTAATCGGTGATTATATTAACTCAAAATGTTTAAATCCAATGAATTTATAGACTTAAAACCGTTCAAGAATGTTCTCATTTATTTCACAAACATTTATTGAATACCCGAGGAGTGCTGGGGCACAGAGATTAAAGTGCTTGCCTAGTAATCACAAGGTTGGAGGTTCTAACCCACAGCCTGCTCTGTGGGGGAAAGATGTGCACTCTCTTTTGGCAAAGATTACAGCTGTGAAAGCCTTCTGGGCCGTTCCCCTCTGTCCCACAGGGTCACTAGGAGTTAGAATCAACTTGACAGCAATGGTTTGGCCTGGTGATTTCATTCTGGGCGAGTCATTGTGCTTGGTTTAATGGATTCATCCATCAATACAAAAGCCTTATCATTGTGGTTTCCCGGAGCTTCGAAGGGAGGCAAAAGCAGGAGTCCACAGAGAACTGCACAAAAGATTAAGGTGAGGGGTAATGTGGACACACCGTGCAGGTAAGGAGCTGCTGAGCGGAGGGTAGTGAAGGCCAGCACTCATTGGGCTTTCTCTCCGAGAACATACGTGGGAGACGGAAGGGTCAGTTGCAATGGACAGAAAGAACGGTAGGGGCACAAAGGGCATTCGAGCAAAGTGAAAAGGCTAGTGCGTAGGCAGGGTTGGTGACACAAAGAAGCCATCTACGAGAAGCAGGTCCCAAATACATCCCCCACAGTGCGGAAGAAAGACGATGCGCACTTTATCCTATAGCCAAACTGGATGGGTTTTTATCTATCAGAAGAATGCTAGCCTGAAACAGCAGATTAAACGCCCACTTTGAATTTACTTCTCCCTCAACTCTAATCAATTACAGTAAAGGTATTTTTTTGTCTTCAAGTTTCCAAAAAGTCATAAACTCACTCAACAGCAGCAAAAGTATGGAAGCTAAAAAGCAGATTAAAAATGCAACCAACTTAATATATTCAGCAAAGCCAAGTCCGAGGCCTTCGGCAGAGACACTGCAAAATCCTCAGAGGCTCAGAAATGGGCACCAGGTGGCTCTCAAACGGGGTGAAGACGAGCTGGCAGAACGTGGGGAATTGCGGGGAACTGTCTGAAAGCAGTTAGACCCTTAGAAAGTATGGCCTAGGCCACTCGGGAGGGCCAGATGCCCCATCCCAGGCCGAGTAGACCAGAAGACAGAAGAGGATGAAACAAGACGGCCCCTCGTCAGTGGGTGGGGGTGGGAATGCACTGCAGCGGGCTGAGACCCCAACCTTCTTCACAGGAATTGCCAGAGCACTGGCAGCCAGACCTTTCACCTCTGGTGGGAGCTGATAAAACTCTGCTCTAGGAAATCTGTTGTGGGCCCGGCTGCCTGGGTCAGATAGCAATATTTACTTCACCACAGAAGGCTGGGCCTGGGCCTGGGCCTGCTGCAGAGAGCAGGGGTAAGGCAAAAAAGCACTTACCAAAGCCTCCACGAGTATTAACCCACTTATCCACATGCCGAAGGGCTATCGACTACCCTATTAGGGTTCCTAGCCTAGTAGTTCACGCTACAACTGTGACAGACGGCCCCACCATGATGGAGCCTCATCTTCCTAGGATTATCTCACGACTTTGCCCGCTGAATCTCTACAAGAGGCACTTACGAACTCCAGGAGAAGGGAAGCCAGTTTGTTAGACAGCTGTCTTCTTCCGCTCGGAGCAGGAAAACATCCCTCGCTTTAGACCTATGGTTCTCACCCGTGACCTTTAATACAGATCTTCATGGTTGTTTGTGTGTCTGTTTGTTTCACAAATATTTTCTTTTATTTAGTTATTTTTAAATTTTTTTATTGGGGCCTTGTACAACTCTTATCACAATCCATCCATCATGTCAAACACATTTGTACATTTGTTGCCATCATCATTCTCAAAACATTTGCTTTCTATTTGAGCCCTTAGTATCAGCTCCTCATTTTTCCCACTCTCTCCCCAA